CACTGACCTAGAAATCTTTGCTTATATTTTTTTCATTATTAGTGTCCCAATGTTGTTTGATTGAATCAGGATAATAAACATTTAGACTTGCAACCTTAAAGAAAATAGACAAAATTATTAGAATACAGTTTGGAAGATAGAGAACTTAAAAAATATACGAAATAGAGTTTGTGGATTTTATCCAGAAAACGAAGATTTACATGCAATATAGAAAATTTTAAGGTAAGCATATATTATAACTTCATTTCTACTGCATTGCTTTAATAGTGAGAGGGTTAAATATATCTCCGAAGAGTAACTGTTATAGATAAAAGAACAATCTCAACAATTTGAATCTAGAATTTCCTTCACATAGTTCCACAGGGAGTTGGATTGTTCTACAGGGAGTTGGTAGAAATTTTAAGGGGTTGGAACCAATGAAAAGAAGTCAGATCTTGGAAGTGTGTTCTTCAAGGGACATGTGGGGTCCTTATCTCTTTCTCCTACTCTCATTCCAGTCATGAACACAACAGTTTTAGTAACCACATACTTCCCCCAGTGATTTATAGCTTTTCCACAGGCCTAAAGCCACAGGGCCAATATAGACTGAAAACACCACAGCTCCAAGCCAAAATAAGTCTTTAATCTCTGTAAGTTGATTAACTTGGGTATTTTGTTACAGTAATACAAAGCTGACTAATACAGAAGTTAAAGAAGTTGGATGAAATGTTTATGTCACCCATACCTGGTCTAACAAGTTTTATATAGGATTTGAAATTTAATTAGTTTGTGATACAATATTTCCCTTTTTTAAGGATTCAGAGAAAAGCTTAAAGAATAGAAAATAAAGCACCAGGGTAACAAATTAGGCATTAATTAGTACAGACATATTGTCTGAAAAGTGAGGAATAATACTTACCTACATATATAGGAGCATACAACACCAGAAAGTTTGCCATGAGACCCAATGCCCACTGGCTTTTATGAGGACATACTCTTGACTTATTTGATCTTTAATCTGAATTTTAGATTCTATATGGATCACTTGGAAAGTGAAGACATATACTAACTGGTTATATTCCTCAAAGATTACTCTTTGCTTTTCATACATCATTGTTGGTCACAGCCCCAGCCAAGCAAAAACTTATGTTCTCATGAAGTAAATTACTTGAAAATTGCAAATGGAATTGGAGATGTGGAGACATTGGTGTACGTAACAAAATGACATTTCTAGTATAATACATCGGTATAACTAAGCTGGTTATCTTGAGGGCATAGTTAGTTGCAAGGACAGAGGTGTGTCTCAGGGTGTTCCATGTGTCCACAGTGTTGGAAATATATCATTATATACAATGTGCCAATATTTAAGTATATGATTATGTGATAACACTAAAGAGATACTAAGTTTACAACAATCATAGGATTATTTTCATAACCCAAGAAATTCAAAGACCACTTTTGAAAAGTACTAGTTTATTGATTGCTGCTTTGTAAAAATGGAACTCACAAATTCAGAAATCTCTTGCTTTTTAGTTGCTTTCCACATTTACATGATATGCACATTGTGTTAATGAACTGTGAACATGGGAATAAGAGTTTTAGCTTTACAACTTACATTAGCACAGACAAATCTATATAAGGTAATAAGCTTATTTCATCTAAATGCTGGATTTTCAGCAAAACTGTTAATAGCCACTTTTCACTTAAGAGTTAATGGCTCCAAAGGAGCCACTTTGTTTTGTAATATATGAGTATTATAAAGTAATTTGCAAAATGCATCAACAGTAATTGTCTTCTGCCTTCAAAATACAGCACATATATTTTTAAATACAATTTCTATTCTCAAAGATTGTCTTAAAATGTCATGTTACTGTAAAAAATTTAAAAGTCTTCATAAATTCATGTAATACAAATTTCTTTATAAAATACATACACATGTACACAGGTATGTGTTTTATATGTATATAATCTTTTCCAAAACTTTCCAAAACATAATCTTCATTGAACAAAATAATAACATATCTATAAATAAATAAGAACAATTTTTTGCCCAAACTGACAGTGTTTCTTTGCTCTTCTTTTCTCTACATCCTTTTCTGTAGCACAAAGTTCCACCCGCCCACCTTCCCCCCATTCCATTTCGGACTTTGGATCCTCTGTGCTCCCTTTTCTCACACAACAGACTCTTTCTAGAATTGAAAGATCACAAAAAATATGGATTAGCATTCTTTCTTTCTGGTATACTTTCCCCCAATATTCATATCGTTCACTGGACCGTTATCTGGTTTATTCAAATTTTACTTGCTCAGTGAGGCTTTTTAAGGTAGTATTTCAAAATGTAGTCTCCATCTTCTCTTCTTTGATTCAGTTTTTTCTCTCGTCACTACATACACTTTTGTTTATTCTATCTTTCCCTGCTGGAATGCAAAAATGTGAATTCCAAATATATTTGAATGTTTTCCACCATGATCCTTCCCATTTCCTAGATCTGTGTCTGTCATACGCAGATGACTAATACAATTTGTTGAATGGATAAAGAAGATGGTATACCAAGCTCTAATCCTGACATGTGAGAAAGGGAGAGACAGAGTTTAAGTCCTCTTAAGATGTTACATGGACCAGCATATTAGGAATTCATCAAACCAATGAATGACTATAAAGTTATTGAAGTTGTATGGGGCAGAGACCATAAGTGGATACTTGCTGTTTTTCACTTGCCTAAATTCATACTTGCTGATAGACTTTGGAAGTTATGTCTTCAAGTTCTGTCTGTCAGGCACTTCAGCTCCAGCCCACAGTTCTAGGAACTTTAAGAATGAGGACCTCTACAGGATATTTTTGGTCACTGGATATGTGTACCTGAAGGGGACAGTGGGACCAAAGTCACTTCTCTCTCTCATTCAGACAATGCAGGGAGCAGCTTTCCCCTGCAACATGTTCCCACTGTCAGACCAGCACTCTGGCCAATTTATTGTGGACTGAAAAGTACACAACTGGGTGCCTAAAATCAACCTTTTATCTACAAATTGATAACCCAATGTGTCTGCTATGGTAATAGAATCTGGAGACACAATTGCCTTTAAGAAATATTATTTTGTGTATGTTAGAAAGAGGTTCCTGACTCTTTAAAGAACAAGTGAGGTTGTGCTGATAGACCATCATGGGTTTAAAAGAATAGCTCTGGAGACTGCTAGAAAACAAATGCTCTTGATGGATTTGTTTAAGAAGGAAATAGAATCATGTCAAATATTTGAGTTGTCTGCAGAGGCTTCATATAAGAGAAAAGAGACAGAATTTACCTAACTGAATTAGTAGATGGTTAATTAAGTGAAGGTAAATCTGTATATTGGGGTATAAATGACAGATTATTGAAGTAGATTAGAAAGAGACAGAATAAATAAAATAGGTAGAAGTCAATTTCCCATGCCAAAGAGTTGAAGGAATCCAGTTGCAAACAGACAGAAATAACTGCCCCATAGAAAACACAGGTTGAGGAGGGCGCCAAAACTGGGCTTGAGTTGTCTGACTCCAGGAGGGCAAACAGGAGAGGAGCAGAACATAGAAAATACTGTCACAGATGCTGGGACATCAAAGCTCAGAGAATGCAGGGACACAGGGACTGTCCTAGGCTCTCATTCCTTCCTCCTTTCCTTTTTTTTTTTTTTTTTTTTTTTTTTTTTTTGCAATGTAGCTATTGGGGGAAAAATCAGATTGAGCCACAGTTTCTGACACCACAGAGTTTACGGATACCTTCCATTTGGTGCCATTTTGACAAGTTCTCATCTCCTGTGTGCGTCCTTGAACAGTAGCTGTGTCTGTAAGGCTGGACACAGGCAAGCTTAACTTTTGTTTCCATTTCTGCAAAATGTACAACATTAGCCGTGTCCTCCCCTATGCAATGCATCATCTCTGGTTTCTCTTTTGGTTATATGACAATCATTATTAGTGATTGCTTACATCTTATTAACTTAGAGGTTCTGAGATGATGAAACTTTCATTCTATCATTTATGCTTTGAAAAATGTCCACAAAGAATTTTTACTTGTATTACAGTTCATACAGAAAAGATAGGCTGAATGCTTGATCCTGTGCCTAAATTTACCAGTAATCAAAATAAGCTTGTTATCCAGGATTTTTCAAAATTAAATTATTTTTTAGTTTCATAAATATGACCTTAAACATACTTGATATGTTTAACCCATACAGGAAATTCTTGCTGATATCAAAACTGTGCCTTCTTTGGTTCTAGGGTTTTGAACTGCCTTGGTATCCAGTAGCTTGTTTGTTTCTGACATGTTATTTTTCTTGTTCCAGAGTTACGCTATATGTCTATATTTTTTAAAAAATTTAGGTTTGTAGTGATGCCTCTAATTAATGTAAAAGTCTACACCAAGTCTTCATTAACCCTTATCTTATATATGCTGCTCTTTCTCTCACAATGAAACATTCAGGGTCCAAAGCACCAACATAATTATTCTTTGATTTATTCCCCTTATATAGATTATTTCAACAGCAGATCATGTAGCCTCTAATTTTGCCTAAAAGGTCAGGATAGAAAGAACAGTTGTTGACAAGATGAGCATGTACATTCTGATTTGAACAAACAGCATGCAGGAAGATTCAGTGTCTTGAGGAGGCATAGTTCCCTCATAAAACAGCAAATCTTTTTTCCCCATAAGAGGACTGCTGAGTCTCAAAGTCAGGAAGAAATTGGAATATATTTGGTTCAATATTCAATCTTCAGATATTAGAACACCAATCAGACATCTGAGCTCTCTTTTGTTTCATTTTCAGAAGGTATCCTGCATTCATTTTTAATAAAAAATATTGCTTTTCTACTTTATCCTTGTAAGAAGACCTCAGGTATGTGAAAAGTGAAAAGATTACTTGAAGAATTCCTATCCCTTAACTCTATTCTACATCAGTCCAGTGAAAATACCAGTACAGCTCAGTGATTTCCTGAAATTTGGAAAATCTTTACATAGTAAAGAACTACTGTTATATTTGTTTTTCTGTCCACAGAGGACAAAGTATGGACCATTGTGTCCCATGACTTGCAGATGCCAACAACTGTGGTCGGCTATACCCCAGAAAAATACTCAGTGACCCAGCTAGTCTACAGTGCCTCGATGGACCAGATCAGCGCCATCACCAGCAGCGCTGAGTACTGTGAGCAGTATGTCTCCTATTTCTGCAAGATGTCCAGGCTGCTGAACACCCCAGGTAAGCTGTGAATGGAATGTTACTTTTAATTATTATCTCAGCTGGTGTCTGGAATGTACTAAACCATCCAACAGGTGTAGTTTATTATCTTACAGTCCAGCTTTCCATATGCAGATGGCTATAAAAAAGCAACTTACAATCACTTAGGCTTCTTTTTCTGGGGAATGGAGCTACGAATGTGAGATTTTTTAAGGAAATTCTATTATTTTAGGTTTATAGATTTTTCGAGAGTAGGTTTGTGTCTGTGCGTGCATGTGCATGTGTGTGCGTTTGCATGTGTGTGTACGTTTCTATGTGTTTCTAGTGTTTAATTATCATTAGTTGCTTTGGTCAAAAGTTTTTCAGAACTTCTTGTAAATTTTCAAATAAATCCCTTTGAGTTCTTTGGGTGTCTTGAATGTAAAGATGAATGTGCTCTAAAAATCATCTGAAAGTAAACTACATATAGATCAGCAATAGTGTTCAGAGCTCTTTGTAGTCTAAAGTCAGTTAATAGTATCTCTCCCAATCTGAAGTTTTTCACAGGGATTTACTTTTGGCAATACTTTGAGGTATGTTTATATGTGTACATGTATGTGTTACAGGTGTGCACATGTGTGTAAAACTGTTTGGTAGGGTGTATAAAATCTGGGGATTCCACAGAATATATTGTATTGTAATCCCAAATTTTGTGTACAGTCATCCAAATATTGTAATTGCTTTTGTAGTCCTTCTCACAATCCAAAAAGTTGTGTTTGTAATCCCATTGAGATGTTATTGGAATCCCAGCAAGGTAATTCCAATCTACCACCTCCAAAGCAACCCAGGGTGAGAGTAAAGACACCAAGATATGTTCCAAATTAAGGGCAGCCAAGTGATGAGGACAAGCAGACAAAGGCCTTGATCCTAGGCCCCTCCCAGAATTTATTTTCTTGTGAAGAAGGGGGTGGCTTGAGGATGAGTGACAGTGAGGGTGGTGAGAATTGCGTGAGTAACTTGAACTTTCTAGCCAGGTAGGGAGAAACACATCTCTGCAAAATGCAGAGATAAGGATATGCAGAAGTATCAATTTACATAAATCAATTGAAGTAACAACTGAATTGTTTTTGGAGGCTGTTACCTCAGTTTCTGATGTGTAAACTTTTGTGTCCTGAGGATTCATAGCCTCTTTACCTTGAGGCTCCAGTTGACATTCCTGGAGCTAATGGCTTTAACATCCTGCTGTGCTCATATCTTTTACAGAGAGCACTATACAAGGAAACAGGAGACTGTCTGATGGCTTTAGAGATTATATATCAGTACCTCGGCTAACCTTATTGCAATGCTTAGAGCCAACTGAAGAGAGAAGGAAATACCATAGCCAGCTCTGTACATATCAGTATAAGGAAATAAGTCTCCATATAATCAAAGTTGCAGCAATTATTCTGCATTCAAGGGGAATCACTCAAGTTGTCTCCCAAAATATTGGAAACAGCTTTACTGCAGGAAAGACTCATGTGCTCAGGGGGTCTTGGCACTAAATTCAAAATGAGGACTGAAGTCCACATCCTTTGGTCTATGCTACAGAAATAAGCATGTGTTCTGAGTCAAGAAAATAGGGCTTTATAATTTACAGTCTTCCCATTTCCCAGATATGGTTTCTGAGAGTTAAGTTCTTTTCTAAAATACAATTGTCTTAATTGATAATAAAAGTTGTACATGTTTCTTAGGTAGATCATGTTTTGAAATATATGTAAATTTATATATGTTTGTATACTATTAGATGGCTAAATCTAAGTAATCAGCATGTATATTACTTACCTTTTTTATGGTGAGAGTGCTGAAACTCCAGTTCCTTGATAGTTTTCAAGAATATACTATAACGTTATTAACCAGCATACCATGTTGTACTACAGAATAAATCTCTAGCTTTGAAGTCTCAGTTTCCAGTATTGTCTTCTGTTCAAGCAAAGATCACAATGCCTGATTCAGGGAGACAGTGAGAATTTAATGGAGTGATACCTTAACACTTATAGGACCTGATCCATTTAAGGACATAAGTAAGAAATGGTATATTGATTTTTGAAAACTATTAAGCCACTTTGCAAGTGACATTGTGTTGTGCAAGAAACAATGGGCTGTTTAATGGCCGAAATTAATACTGACTTAGAACCAGTATTATTGGAGGATGGCTCACAAAAAGAAAACAATAAATAATTTTATGAAGTGTTTACTGCTGCTTGCATGCAAAAATCTTGTGTAATAATTATAGGAAGCTTATCCTAAGGACTCTAAGTAAGTGAAATACAGAAATTGTTGGTTCAGAAATAAGTCTGTTGTTTGTAAAAAGAAATGATCACGCCTGGAATGTTGGGGTAATGTCTCATTCATGAGGATGGTGACAAAAAGTGAAGTAGAAGACAGATGAACTTCAGGTCCCAGTGAAAGTTATCCCAGCCAGAGAGGGAATCCATGTGAAAGTGCAGGAATAGATAAAGCTGTGAACATAGACACAGAGGAAAGTAAATGCTATAGTGAGATCTGAGACTCCATCCTGGAGCCCAGTACTTCTTCGACTTTCATGAACAAGCTGTGGAGATTAAGACAATACACATTGCTAAGCCCCATTGCCTAAGTCTTTGAGAAGATCTGTGGTGGACTTAAGAATTTGCATTTGCCACAAGTAATATGGAACATGTTGTGTTTCCCAAAGTTATATGTTGGAGATAAGACCTGTAGGAAGAAGTATATTTAAATGAGATCATAATAGTGGCATCTTACTCATATAGGACTAGTATCCATAAAAAAATAAAAAGAAAGAACATTCTCTAAATAATTTTGTTGGAGAGTTTGAGCAGATAAGCATAAGGCAGATGAGATGATGCTGACCAAACTGGTCTGAAGACCCCTATTTGATCCCTCTGTGTGCTCTGATGGGAAATAGGACATTTGTAAGACATCACAGTCCTGCAGATTTTCTGTTGCCCTTCACATCTCATACTTCTTTATAGTAGATCCTGTTTTCAGGGCTAGGTGATGTCAACCAAGGACTGTTGAAAAACAAGGACAGGAGACATCATTGATGGATCTCATCAGCTTGTCTTTAGAAATGAGGGGTCCCGGCTGAGGGGTCCTTCCTGAGGCTCTGCTCACAGATTGTGATGAATCCTCCATTCTGAGGCAGAATCAAATTGCAGACAACAAGCAATCTTGATACCTTTAGTTTTATTTTCTCTATTTTGTTCCTCTCTTCTGTTAGACTACAGTTAGTTTTCATCACTTTAGTTTGCTCTAGAGGCTTAAGAAAGAAACACAGTGTGGCACCTCAGGAGTGGAAGGCATATTTTAGGCACCTGGAGAACAGAGTGGACAATGAGAAGGCAGCTCACCTTGGTGCTCCTGGTCTTGGGATTCAGTTCCTTCCTTCCCTGATTGATGTCCTGACATGTGGGCTCCTCCTTCCAGTCCCCAGGAAGGCTCACACCGTTATCACTGTCCTGTTCATTACATGAGACATACAAAGCTTCAGGACAAATGAGATGAACTTGTTTTAAAACGATTTTCTTGCATTTTTGAATATTCTGCAAACACTTTTCTTCAACCTCCTAAAGCCCTTTAGAGGAGAAGAACTATCAGACTGAAATCAAGATTGAATTTTCAATCTGCACAAAAAATACACTCTTTTCTTTGTATTTCACATGTATAGATTATTAGTGTACTTAAATGACTTGCGCTGAAAATAAATTCACCCTATGCATCTTATCTTTTGGGACACACTACAGATATCAAATCCTTTCATTCAGATGGACTGTTCTTATTGTCACCTAGTTTGAACAAAATATAGCCTTAAATATTACCTTGTCCAACCTTTGGTAGTTGTTTAAAGTGTGAATTGCAATCTTTCAAATACGCAACTCAAGGCTCACTCCATGGTCCTGCTCTCAGGTTTCCACAGAACTTGGCAAGGACTCAGGACTGGCTGCTTTTTACAAACATCCATAAGGAATCGTGTCAGCTGCAATGGAGAAAACCTGCCTCTAGTTTATGGCATGATGGTCTCTCACATAGGAATTTAAGGTGCTAGTCCTTCGTGTGAGAGAAGGTTAGAGAGGATATAAGGGCTAGTCTGATTGATCGGAATAAAATGGAGCATATAATGGCCCATTCTACAGCCAAAATATGTTGGTTTGATAGTATTTTTAATTCCTTTGCTACGATGGCCTCTGGACAGTGTAAAGTGAATTTCAGCCTCCCTTTCTGATTCATTTCTCACATTCCCATTTGCTACTTTCCAAGTTGAATAATTTGTAGAACAGCTGATGCCATGAACAGAGTGGTTGAAGCAGCCACTTCTGCAGATTACAATATTCCTCGTGTGCCAGAAAGGGAAAGGAGACAACTTAATAAAAATCTTTAATTTGTTGTTTTAAGGAGCTAATGTTTGCTGTAATTGGATTTTTCTTGCTCCTTCATGGCAACATTCAATTTTAAATATCCAGTCAGTCATTCTTAACTAAGACTGAATTATACTGGAACTTCTGTAGAAGTACTTGTGACATCTGTTTGAATACAAAGTATATTCATTATAGTCATCGCAATTAAAATGAATATCAAATGAGTTTGTAATAGCTATGCACTTAAAATGTTATTCTTTATTTTAAGAGCCTTACCCTCCATAGTTAGTTTGGGTTTCTATTGTTTCTCAGACAGTAAAGACAAAACGTGAATATGCATATGGCTCTCATTTTTATTTTGATAGATGTTTATTTGTACCATTAGCTAGCAAATGTAGAATTACTCATTATTGGTTTCTGAGAGCTTTTACAAGGATTGTAATATATGGCTTGCAATGTTTTCTCTATTACTATTATAAATTTTAAAAATGGAATTGATTTTAAAACGATTTTGCCATTTATCAATATAGCTAGTCTTTCAACATGATTATTAAATCAATCACTCTTAATCAACTTTATAAAACACATAGAAACTACATAAACCCAAGTCATTTCATTTGGCATAGAAGAGGCTCTTTAAAATAAATT